GAAGAATTTCGCCCTACACTGAACACGAACCAAACCAATGAGTACTATTCTGAACTATGAAAAAGATGGATCATCGCGAAAACGGAACAAAAGAAAAAACCATAAACAAAAAAAAGTGAAGTAAGTAGTTTTTCTTGAAAAAAAGCTCTCTCTCCTGCATGCGACTGTGTTTTCACGAATCATTTCAATGCCTTTCACAGAAATTTGCCGAAAGTCAAAATTTGCTCTTATAACAATAACTTTGAGTCAATGATGGGGACATGTGGGAATCGATCCCCAATTAGTCGCAAAGACACTCCTAATCGAGAAAGGTAAAAAATCCTGCTCTCACACCAGTTGATCTAGGAGCAGCCTGAGGATGCACCGACGGTGAAGCTACCTAAAACTAACCGGTATCGCTGGTAATTCTGCTCCTTCGTGATCTGATCAACTTGGTCTAGAAGTTGACGAATGCGAAGTTGCAACTCATTCAGCTTATCCTTCGTTGCAATCTTAAACAGGTAATGAACACAGAGTAGACAACATTTCGATGATGTTAAACAGGAGCAACCTGCTCGTAATCCTGGGCGTGTTCTCCGGCTTGAATATCAAGGTGCACCCTAAGCTGAGCTCCACTGAACCATGCAGTACTATTCGAATATAGACAAATCACATGCTCTCCGGGAAGATGAGACGTGAATGTGAATTTTCCTTCTGACGTGTACAATTTGGACAGAATAACCTAAAACAAAAGTGGTGTTAAGCGTGAAGTTTGTAAAGAAAATGTTGATGATACCTTATCTTCAGGATCTTTCACTTCTACGTGCATCCCGATATTTGGGTAGTCTCCGTAGCCCTTCGTGTCGTATAATCGTATAATTGGACTTTGTAATTGCCGGTTACCTAAATGGTAACCAGTAAAAGATGACATGAAGATGGCTTTTCACGAGATAAAAAAAACAAGTAGTCTTCACGAATCAGTGTAGTGTAACATCGTCCGGATACTACTATATACTACATTCCATATAACAAAGATGAGATGGGCGTGGGCTCGTGCTGTTCAAAGACATCCTTACAGTAGTCCCACAACGACGATATCTTCTTGAAAGGGTATCGCCGCTACAGTTCAAATGAAGCCCTAGCCATGCCCTTCCTACGCCGGGATATACAGGGGGAGGGTGCGAAAAACACTTTTCTTTCTTGACTTTCGAGGCGCTATAAGTTACACTTAATTAAATTCTCATTTCTTTCTTCTCATTTCTCATTTCGATTTCTACCACCATATTGAACAGCATATTAAATACTATCATGACACTGACACTCGATCGAAGTGCCTTTTTTTGCCCCCCCCCCCTGTATACACCAACAATAATAAGCAAGGTTTCGAGGAAGGAGGAACTTCTGTAAAAAAAATTCAACGTACCATTGTTTCGTCAGGGATCTCCTCAATAAAACATTTTTTCTCCGTCTCAGCAATGTGGAAATATAATGCATGGCAGTATGCCAAAGTAGACACCAGTAGCAGCAGATGCGAATACATTCCCGTTTTCAATTCCTGATACTCTCAAAAATGAGCAGCAATTTGAAAAAAAATCAAATTTTTAAAGAAAAAACCTATACGCTATAAGAAATATATATGGTTTTGAACCACAGTCGACTGTTACCTTTCTAACACAGCTAACATAGAACATTTACCCAGTTTTAACTGACATGGCAAGGTTCATGGCAAGAATAAGTAGGACTAGAACAGCGATGGACAAGATCAGAAAAAATGGCAACATTGAAAAGCTTTAAGTACGCTGAGATAAGTAAAGAAATGCAATACATGACGTGAAAAAAAGTGATGAGAAGTAAATGAAAAAACATTCAAACTAAAGTGGTACGAATCAAGGCAAGTCGTAGCACTATTGAATAATTAAGTAAAGGCACTTGAAAGGCAAAAATGCCATAGAAAACGGCAAGAAATTACACCTATAATGAAAGAAAATAACAATATTGCGAAGAAGTTGGGTTAACTTTCGTGATAAAATGTGTTATGAAATGTGAAAGAAGACTATACAAGTCAAAAAAGAGAAGTCAAATGGAAAATCAACCATAAGGTTCAATCATTCAAGCGTGAGAAAAAAATTGCACATAAAATGACTCTGACTAAATCACTACAATATAAGAAAGCTATAAAAAAAGTAAGAAACCGAATAACCTCAGCATGATTTCACGGAACTTATCCACTAAGGCTGCCAAAAGAAGCGGTTTTCTCGAAAACCCACCGCTGGTTACCATCGAGTGCATCGCAAAGTGCCGCCGATAATCGTAGTTCTTCGCCCTGAGTAACCACGGTGAGACAGCGTCCACCTTGAGTGAGCCAACCCGTGGCGTTATCCAGACGGAAACGTGTTCGCACCTGCAATACCAGCGTCTGTCAGGATGAACCTTATCCTCATTCCTCATCACCCTCTATAAAGTTCCGCCCTCCGTTCGAAAAAATGAGTTGTGTGGTCCAAATACTAGTAACAAGACGGTAAATAACACAAGAAAAAGCACAGAAAACCAGCTCGGGTTTCTTATAGAGGCCCATGCTGAAGCGCACTCGCACATGCTTGAAGAAAGGGTATGGCCTGACGAGTTAACACTTGTTGGCGCCAGCTCTTCCTCCTTATCACCTCACTCCCACCATTCGAACTGGAAAGACTTCGTCGTGGAACAATCGCATCCCCAGGAAGCGTTCAGATTTCAGCTCCGAAATGGTACATCCCCTGCTTGCGGGCAGGACTACCATTTCAGAAGAAGGCGCTTGAACATTAAGCAGACGTGGAATCTGCCTTTGAGCAGAAGTCAAAAGCGAATTTTTTTGAAGATAGCCCTTGCGCTCAAGCAGCATGTGGTCGTCCTTCCTTGTGCAGGTAGTTCAGCCCCCAAGCAAGAAATATATCCAACTCTCAGACTCCACAGTGAGCGGGAAGCGAGACCACAGCGTACGGAACTTCTAGTTTTAACGCTCCGCACATTGGACCGCCCACTTACTAGTTCCCTCTGCAAGGGAGCCGCCCTCAGTTATCTTTGTTTTGGGGAGGCGAGCATTATATAGAATCATCGCAACACTTTTTGCTTGACAGCGACTCGGGCCTAGGAATTAGTTCTGCTCTCCTCATCACATTTTTATTCTACTGGCACAATAACAGTCAAATGCAACCTACTCTTCTGTAAGGCTAAACGCCGTAAAAATGCCGAATGATTGAAACTCTGTCGGTGCCAAGCGACATGCACTAAAAGCTGCACACTGCACGTAACCCCAAATTCGGACGCCAGGTTTTTGAATTTTTCCTTTTTTCAAGTGTTTTTCGTTCGTGTCTTTGTTGTTTTTCATATTCTTTTCTTTGAATTGGATGTTGTCCACTACTGGGAAATGCCATAAAGCGATTTGTGAGCCAGGGGTTGCCCACGGACAGGGCGGTGTAACTGTAAGGGAGCAATTTTGTTTGTGGTGTTCTTGAGGGCTCTTGTTGCTTTTTTCCTTCATTGAGGAATTACTTATCAGCTACTGTTTCATAATTGATCAGCAATTATCCTTGACACTTTATCACGGGAGCTGTCTTTAATCGTTTGGAAGACAGAAACGTGGAAACTTGAAAGAAAAATTAGATCGTCGGCATCGTATGCTAATGCATTGCAGCACTATAGCATGCATTCCAAGTATTCCAAATCGCCTGCAAGTTCCCATCTATAGCCGCATTCACAGCTTGCAACCGAAGAAGCGTAGAAATCAAGAAATACAGAATCTGCAGAAAAGACGAAAGCATTAGATACGATCGATGAAACAAAATCGATGCGTATCTAACGCTTTTCGCCATTTCTGCAGATTCCACAGTTCCGCAGTTCTTCACGGTCGCAAGCTATGAACACGGCCTTAAAAACCCTGAGCGCTCTTCGGCTAGAGGGGAGTGACATTTTGCACATTCGCTGCTTCCTATTGCTGTCGTGTCAAGCAATCAAGTAGAGAAAACTTGTGGAGCCACAAACTAAGTTTGTAGAAACTACTAGTCAACTTTCCTAAAGGATACCTGTCTACTGTTCTAAAGCACATATACACGATAATAAAAAGCAGCGAAATTGCAAAATGTCCCTTACTCGCCGAGCTGTGCAGAAACTTGACCCCGAAGCATGAAGCCGCCCCTATGCCAAACACCGGAATCCAGTGGATCCGCGGGAAAGTATGAATATGTGATGATTCGTCTCACCATGTGGCATCGATGATAAAATACGATTCTCCCAGAATCCCATTTGATACGCAAATGATCATTCTCACCAACCCTTCGATTCTCCCAATCATAAATGCTAAGTTTTTTTTAGATTCGCAAACCCATCCAAAACGCTGGGCATATTCGCTGCGGAAAATGGCATAAAATCTTCAATATGGACACAAGCGACCGAAAATTGAGCGAAGCGGAAAACTTGTCGACCTAGATTAACAATTGCCCAGCAAAATATGATTACCACTAAAATCCATGACCGTGGCGAATCAACAGCTTAATGGTATTACCATTGACCTGTTGACCGTTACTTTCTGTGGTATGCGCTCGACAGATGTCGTGAAACACCTGTTCATGAAACTACTGGTAACCTTCAAACAGTTCGTAGCGGCGTTCGAAGGGCAGCGCCTTGTACCCCAGAAGACACGGCATATCGAAAATGGTAGGGATCAAAAGACTTAGAACATCGAAAAGAGTGGAAATTGAATCTCGTCTCCTCACAACAGCAAGAAATGAAACTAACATTACTACAGTCGTCCATAATTACGAGTGGTTCGCCGTCCAGGTCTTCCATAGTGATGCAAAGCCTCGACGTGGTGCTACGTAAATGGCCTTCATCTCTGTCGTAGGCCCACTCCTGCAAAAGTGTTGAATGATAAAAAGAGTGAAATGAGGTAGAGAACGAGGAACACCATTGAGAAAGTTTACATTCTTTGAAATAACTCGAAGTGCAAGATATATAAAGAAAACGAATGGAAGCAATGTAGTAACAGTAAACCTTATAAAACATTGAGTGATATAGCTTCGACGTACTTTTCAAAAATTTCCACGAACTTTGCCAGCTTTTGCACAACAACGCTGCAGATTAGGCGTAAAGTGGACACGTAACCAAATGAGAAGTGCAATTGCACACATGTGGGACTACAGTATAAACAACGAATCAAACAACTCACAACTCACAGTTTTCATAAAAACCTTGTTTGAACGTTTCAAATAATCTTATGAGAAGTAACAATGCCACTCTACCTGATTACCACCAGTTCCGTGACACTGGTATAAACCTGGAGCTTCGCCAGCCCTACGTCCTAGTGTATCCAGGCACATAATTCCATTTTTCAGGTGGTATAATTCTCCTTTATCACGCTCAGGAATTCTGAAATGGTAAATGTGAATTACCGTATTTCCTGAAGTGTGAGGTAGTGGATAGGGCACAGATACGCAAGATAAAGGTTTCTGGATACAGCGACAGCTTTTCCGTCTTTCATTTGATATTCTTAGCTTCTGACTGCTGGTTTGAACCAGAGGCTCACATAGCGCTTATTCTCTATGGGTCACAGTAAGTAAAGACAACCAAGAATGCGCAAAAAAAAACAACTGGCAGCTTTTGAGGAATAACTACCCTTGTGACCCACAAAATGCGGTATCGAATTATCCAGAAGGCAGTTGTTGAGCTTTCAGAAAATTTAATATACTTAACTTTGTTCCAATCTAATCAACTGAATGAAAGTTTCAGCACCAGATTTCATTGAAGCCTAACCCAAGGTGGGACAGGAAGGGGAACGATGGAGTCGCAAAAAGCGAAAACGGAGTAGTTACAAAGAAGGTACTGTACTGCACCTCAATGGAGTAGAATTTCTGTGAGATTCAAAGATAGAGTGCGTTAATTAAGGTAGGAACAACATAGCAACACCCTTTGGTAGTATTACTGACCGTTCCTCGAAAAGACTCACTTTAATTCAGGGTAGATGGTTTCAAGATACCATGAAAAGGAGTGGCACTTCAAACGTTCCCGTAATGCCAGACGTTCGGACACACTGAAAAAGTGAATATTCTATAAAATTTTCAACAAACATGACTTATCTCAAATGAGTCCATCAAAATAGTTGAAATTTAAATAGACATAAAGCGCTATTTCAAAAGATTCGTGTGCTTGCATTCCCTTTCAACAACTTCTATCTTCAGACTTTTTTGCAGTGTAGTATGAAAGGCAACCAAGGATTCCGATGGATATCTCGAGCGCCTCAGTAGTGCCAAGGGCAAACACAACAATTGTAGTCGAACAACAAAACGAATAGCCATTCACTGCTTAAAGCCGTGTTCATTCCGATCGAGAAGACTCGGTCATTTAGGAGATTAAGTATTGGAATCAACCTTCTGGCTACTGCGAGATTGAACGAACTAACGATTCAGAGACTTGGCGTTTCCGGCGACTGCGCCAAAATGGTGTGTGGGTATCGATCGGCGCCGTCGCTAGCGATTCGGCGATCCGGCGTTTTGAGAGATCGCCGTGTCTTTCAAATCGCCGGATCTCTAAATCTCAATCGCCGGATCGCTCGATCTACTAAATCACCAGATCACCGAATCTACGCAATCGCTAGTGGCCAGTGTCAATCGATACCCATCTGCTACGCCTCGCAATCGCCGGAAACGCCGAGTCGCCCAAATCGCCGAATCTCCTCGGTCGCAAAGTATGAACGCGGCCTGAAGGATTTCCTGTTGAATATCTAAAAAAATCTCAGCTGAGAAGGCTGAATCTGAAAAGAGAGCAAAGAAAACCTTAGGTATCAAGAACATCGAATCTGAGGATGTATAGAACACGGAGCGGTTATACAGCAACGCACCATAGAAGACAAGAAACAAACTCACTCTCCAAATTTCACATATCTCGCAGAAGGCACATTTTTCAGATAGATTGCTTTGTATTCATCCATCCATACCTCGGCTGCTCGTCTCGTATTCCTAGAATCGAACACAGGATTAAGCAAAAGCCAAGGAAATTTAACAGTGAAACACTTACGATTGGAAAACATTTCCAGACCCTCCCGGAAACGTGTAGGGATGTTGCTTACGAAACACGTGTCCGACGCGACTACATGGCATAATCTCTAAGGAACCCCCACATTGCCAAACACGAAACGACATTTCTGAAGAAGAAAAGGCTGCTTCCTCACCACAAACATGGCTGCACCAAGTATATCGCGCTTTGCTGAGCGAAATATAGTAGAAAGAATATCACAACAAAAACGCTTGTCTCTTCGCTTTCCCGGAATCGTTTGAACTCACCTAGGTTCTCGCCTCCCCAAACTTCCATACCCATATCGTATGTACCAAGCTCTTCGAACCAACTCTTTTTGATCGCAAATAAACCACCAGCCATAGTTGGAGACCTTAAAAACAAGTGAAGTGCCTAAGCAAACATATCTTTGCCAAAACATCCTGAAAAATATACAAATAAGTAGCAGATAAAACAAAAGATGTTATGGTCACTTCTGCATAGAAAACCAGAAATAATTTCCCGCACTTGCTAGATTTAGATTAGCGAACATCAAGCGATGCCCAAGAAAAAGAGAATATGAAGTTAAAAATAAGAAAAGACTTTACGAAACGCCTTGAGAAAAAGTAGAGCCTGGAACAACTTTATTGGAGCAGTTTGATGTTGCGTGACGTGTCTTCAATTCCCCCAAATAATTCCCATTTGAGACTTAAGATTCCAGCCGAACCCATAAAATACATACTTAGAATCCGTACCGTATTATTTCGCCCAATAAATCTCACTACACAAGGACCTATTTGTATTTGATACTGCAATAGTTCTTCCATCTTTATCTACTATTCAGTGTTAATGCACTTAAAGAAAAGGAATACTTGCGGCTTGCCTGAACTAGTACACTCAAAGGGCAGCCCGCCCCGCGTTCGTTTGTTGTTTCACCCCCTTTGATATCGATGCTCCCACTCCTATGAGCATAAATGGATTCTACAGTCGCAGCGAAAATGTGAGAGTAGTAGCGGGTAGCGCGCCGCTCGTGAGGAGTCGACCGCCCCCCAACGCACCACTACGCCAACTTCATTCTATATTGCTGTCCCTCCAAACTTGCGCGGTGTCCACCACCAGCGGTGCGCGTGTTCCATCAACCAGCTCTTTCTCTCAACTTCGTAATGGTGAGAGTGAAGTCATAGCGCACAGCTAACACCTCAACAAGTGAGAACTCGTGCGGCCGCGCCTTCTCTTCGCCTCGAGCACGTACAACCTCAGCTCGGCGTGGGGTCCTATATAGGGCATATCCGATGATTTTTTTGCATTTCTTCACTAATGAACTACTTGCTACCTTGTTGTAATTGTCTGAGCCCTATAACTCATCGAATTGAACGCGGGCGCTGCCTTTAACATACAACACTCACAGCCAGCTTAGGAAACTAAACAGAACAAGAAAAGCTTTTGAGAAGAGCTTCTCTCCATGCCCACCAGTGGAATTTCATCTCAAATCATTCTATTGGAACTATGGCGAGAAAAGATAATAAACAGCTCCTGCTCACCTCCACGAAGATCAGCACTTGCAGCCACATAGTTGAAGTTATCCATATTAATCACATCAATTATTGGCGCGACTACTGCTTTCGGATTCTGCAATTATCTACTGCCTTTCAAGAAACTTTGAAACTTTCCTAGCGGGCTAGATGAGTAATGTAGAGGGTTACCTCACTAATACGTCCAAGAAGTGGCTCCAACCACCCAACATTACATTCAACATGGCTGTCCAGAAAGGTTAAAATAGGAGCTGTTGCGTAGGCAGCACCCTTGACGCGAGATCGAATCAGACCTAAAAGAGAATCCACGTACGTCACATCAACAGCGCATAAACCACATGAAGTATCGAAAAAAAACTGGAGCAGGCCAGAATATCTTCTTTTTCAATAATTTATTCCAATATTCAGAGCTCAAAGACGACCCCTGCGATTGCATATTGTGGGTGGTAGCTTTCATTCACTGGCCTTCAGCCAAGTGATTCTGCAGGGAAGAAATAAGCAAAAAAAATTTTGAAGAACACCCTAACGGACGATATGCTAGCCACTGAACAAGGACCTGCTCATTTTATGCCGCCAAAGGGAGTCCTACTGGCTCTTACTAAGCGTTTCATCGCGTCATCCAATGTTAACATTAAGTAACAGTGAAAAAAAAACGAGAGCACGGTGCAAAACCTGAACTCGACACAGAACCCTCGGTACCTGAGTTTGATGGGCGGTACAATTAAGGAGAGGTCAGGACTGCTAGAAAAAAAAAGTACACGGTGCAAACACCGAACCCGTGACAGAAAACCTTTGGGTTTCAGTGGGCGGATACAACTAGGAAGGTGTCAGAACTGCCATTTATGAGGGCCGCAGCGTCTTCGTTACTGTGAAGCCGCGAAAGTGGGGGAAGTCCTAGAGAGTGCAGGCCAGATTTTCAAGCAAGAAACGACGCCTACGTTTGGTTGAGCGCGAGGACTTTTAAAAAGGAAACGAGCGAGTGATTCGCCGATATTTTTTTCTGCAAAATTCCCAAAAAAATTACGTGAGTTCATAATTTGCGCTCACAATTCAAAGAAAATTCAGTATAGCTCTATATGAACTTGAACTTCCTCGCCTGTTCCAAGTTATTCTTGCTACTCTATCAATGAATGTCATCATCAAGTCCGTGAGCAGAACAGACGATTCATAGAGGTGTACAAGCAATCAAAAAACAACCTTCACGTTTTGTGTTCCTCAAAACGGTGACCTTTTCAAGTTGAGAAATGTCTTTTCCAATCGATTCTGAAAAGAGCACTTTGCAATCAGAAGCCAGAACAAAAGCATCAACAAAATAAGTTAGGTTGCATTGCATTAGAAGCTTCTAACTATAGAATAACCCCAACGGCACAGAGCGAGCATGAAAGCCGGGAAAGCGTCTGCTTGTATTCTTTTATGTTAGCAACCTTAATGTTAGGTGACTGTCAGAATCACATCTTGGTAAGGACGTCACAGACGTGCCGTCCGCCCATCTCAGCTTTGAGCCGCTACAATGACCAATCTGTTTTAAAGAGAACTTTGGCTATCACTGAACTTGAACGGATTGATCGAGTAATTACGGATTCTGGAACACATACCATCTTTGGAGCAGTCGTCAACAAGAATAATTTCATGGATGAGCTCCGGTGGTGAGCGAAGCATAGCGCTATAGACAGTACGAAGGAGAGTGGACCTCGCTTCATTGTGATACGTTACAATAATGGATGTTGGCTCCATAGCTTTGACGTCGTATGTCAACTTTTTACAACTGCAAATGTTGTATTGATGAAAAGCAGCTGAAGAAAGGGTCTGGCACTATTTAACCCTTTACTGTCCCTACCATACCAAGAAGTCAGACCTGCTTTTGCTCACTTTTTTCTCCGTGGACAGATTACGCTAAAAAACCTCTTTACGGGTACTTCAACCCCCTCGACAAAAATATCATATCCGCTTTGCCTGGAATTGCCTGACGCATGAGTCGCAAGCGACGCCACCACTGCTTATTTAGACTCCGACCCGTGTAGCACAGACTCCTGCCGGTTTCGTGCCGAGCAATGTGTCAGCGCAGTTAGGGAGACACGGCGAGGTAATGCAGTACCCTTTCTGTCGCCTGTGATAGTGATCCTCCCCTTACTAAGGCTCTACTTTGGCAGAGAAAAGGATCGTTCATTGCAAAAAAGGGTGCAGACGAGACGTAGCAAACTGCACTATAACTTGTACCCTCTTTACACCATACTTAAGTTTCTTAACATGCTATGCAGATGTGATATTCGTGTTCAGGAGGTCGACAAATTCGGTGATTCAGGGCATTTTGGCGACGGCGTCTGTGGCGCGGCGCCGAAATACGGAGTGAGCGGATGTGACATTCTTGTTTAGAAGGTCAAGCTACCCCGTGGGGCACATTTGTAGCCAAGTCTGCCGTCGGAGGAAAAGGTCGGTCAAC